CAATGGCTTATTCGTGTTTGTTAAGAGTGGAAGGTGGTGCCATGGCTGCCGCTTCTCAGAGCTTTAATCCGACGCCGTTTTGTTCGTATGGTAATGGTAAAAGGAAATTAGTGGTTAATAAACCCATAAAATTTTTGCCCTCTCTGCAGTATTCTTGTGAAGGCTTTTGGAGCCATAGAAGAAGCTTCCACATACATCTAATTCGGGTATATTATCTCTCTCTCTCTCTCTAGCTTGGTTTTTTCTTTCTCTCTCTAACTAGCTCTCTCTCCCTCTACGTACAAGTATCGGTTAAATTACGAGTTTTGTCCCTAAACGTCATAAGTAGGTTCAGTTAAATCTATCAGACACATAATTGTAAGTTTAAGAACATATTGGATATCGTACTTAATAGATAGGTCATAAAAAAAAATAGGTTCGGGTTGATTAACCATTTTATTTTTAGTAGATTCCGTTGGATATATTAGACACATAATTGTAAGTTTATCTTACTTAATAGATACATCATAAAAAAATTAGATTGGGCGATAATCATTTTATTTTTAATTTTGTGTTTTTTTTAAAAATCAAGCTTTTAAATACTACCTTGGTGCGCGTTTCATTGTTTTGCTGTCAGGAGTATATTCAAAATATATGCTAAAATTTGAAAACTAAAAAATAGTTTTTCTTTTTTAATTTAGTTAGGAATGTTTTTAAGAAAGGTGAAAACATTGTCAATTGATTATCTTTAAAAATAGAAAACTAAAAAAAAAAATTGTTATTAACTATCATGTTAGAGATTTACTATATATCTTTTTAAATTGGAAAATATTTGTCTTGTTAATTTTTTTGTCCTTACCACCATTAAATTTTTTATATATATTTTCTAAATCAAGAAGTTGACAATTTTTTAATGGTGTTGAATATAATATTTAGTTATCATGGGTATAAGAAGTAAAGTATTTTCTTTTTAAATTTAAGGATTGAAGTTAGACCTCTCTTTTGTACGTAGTAAATATTAAAAAACGGTTAAAATGCATATATATTTAATGGTTTTTTGCTCACTCTTAGTAACAAGAAACTTTGTTTCTATCATGCATACCATATATGCATTGATGTTTTTATCTTTAATTTTCATCCGTCATATGTCACGTCACTCAACTATTTTTCATTTTTTATTTTGAAAATTTGAACTTAAATATTCTGTTCAATTTACATACAAAATTTTCAACAAATATATGTAGTTACTCCCAACATTATTTTCAACCAAAAAGATGGAAAATATGCGCAGTGTCTTTTTTATTTGTTATTTATTTATTTATTTTTATAATGTTTGGTGGACTGAGAAAGTTTGAAAATTTTGTGATTCCATGAGGTTGGTATAGTTAGGTCAGTTTCAATTAGTGAATAAATTATAATTTTTTTATTCTAAAGTAGAATGTGAAGGGTAATAAAGTAATTTCGTCGTATTGAAACTTGAAAATTTTTAGGAGGTGAGCAGCCAAGCAGCAGCAGCAGCCAAGGAATATGGTGGTAGTGATGAAGCAAAGACTCGACAACTTTGGGATTTTGCAAGGGCATTATGGACTTTTCTCAGGCCTCATACCTTCTATGGAACCCTTGTTGCTTCATGGTACTTTTTTTTTATTTTTTATTTTTTACAATTTTGTCTCTAACAATTCGATGTTTTTTTACAAACAAAAACTTTTTTTATATATAGTTTTAATAATTTGATTTAAAGGTTTAGTTTTAATTTTATTCATTAAACTCTAAGGGTGGTTTTCTTAAATTTTATATTTTAATTTCTATTTTAATAAGTTTTTAAGATGTGGGCTGATAATTGGACTAGCTAATAGTGATGATTTGATAAGATATAAACAAATACTTAAAACAAATTTCAAATTAAAGCTTTCAAAATTATAGGAACTAACTTGGAAACAAACATGGTAAGACTAAAATGATAATTTAGTCAACGTTTTAAAAGATTAACCATTGATATATAATTTACTAGAAAGCAAATTATACGTGTAAATATTGTATTTCATGTGTGATGTATTTTAATATGTGTTTTTTATATTTTAAAACTTTATCTTATATCAATTTTATGTTTAATTTTAAAGTCACTTTTGAAATTATAGCCCATTTGAAGAATATAACATAAATTTTTTTAATTTTGTAAAGTTTGATTAAAACTGTAATAACGTTTATAATTTGGATATTATTTAAATTTCAATAGAAAGTTTAAATTTTTGAAAATTTTATAAACTAAAAAACATATCTAAAAATATAATTTCAAACTCACAGTAAAAGACATATATAACTATTTCTAAAATGTCTCGTCCAAAATTTGTTTCACTTTTTTTTTTAAGGTTCAAACTATCCCACTTTTTTTTTTGTTCTGAAGCAAATGAAAACGTAAAAAACCATTACACATAAGATGAAACACGAAAACAATCTTCCTCTACGCAAAGAGTCACAGTCGGTGGACACATTTCCACCCAGACATGCAGATTAGACGAATCCAAAACCAGATGCGCCAACCGATGAGCAGCTGTATTACCTCCCCGATTCACAAAATTGAAGAAAATGAGTTTTTCTTTACACGTACGTCACAAATACAATATTGAGATTTGAACATTACAAACTCTGGGGTGTAGAAGATGTAAAAATGTCTTAGATAATGAGGCTACAACCTAGAGAGAAAAAAAAAGGATTTGGGTCAGATTTTGAACCTCTAAATCTTAAAGAGAAGTATATAATATTTTAATCAATTGAATTATTTACGTTTATTGACCTTTTTGTTTACTTACCGACCATTATTAAAGCTTTTATTAAAGTTTGAGGTACATTTGAAAATTTATGGGTGCAATTTTTTCATTACGGTGTTGATCAATAAATACCTAAGTAAACATCTAAGTTTCTTTTTTCTTCTTTCTTGAGCAGTTCGTTGGCGGCTAGAGTGTGGACGGAAAATCCAAAATTGTTGACCTGGCCAATAATAATAAAGGCACTTTGCGGCCTAGTGCAATTATTGTGTGGCAATAGTTATATCGTCGGTCTCAATCAAATTTACGACGTCGATATTGACATGTATATTCTCTCTTTATCTCTCTCCACAAAATTTTTAAATATTTATTGATATAATTTGGATTTAATGGGTTTTTTTTTAATAATAACTACATTTTTTGTTCAGCTTGGATTTTTGTTCTTATTATTATTTTGATTTTTTCGCAGGGTAAATAAACCATTCTTGCCAATTGCGGCGGGGAAGATCACAAGCAATGAAGCGTGGGTTCTAGTCACGTTTTTCTTAACAGTTGGGCTGTCACTGGCAGCTTTAAATTCAGGCCCATTCCTCACTTCTCTCTATTGTTTCGCTCTCTTTCTTGGCACTCTTTACACTGTTCCTCCTTTTAGATTCAAGAGATTCCCCATTGCTGCATTCCTCTGCATTGCTTTGGTACGTTCAATATTCTTCTTAGCAACAATACCTTCAAGCAAATTAGGTTAGATTCGGAACAATGTATCTGTGGGGCGGGTTGGGATCGAAATTGCTTAATGATCCGAGAAAATATAAGAGACTTGACAAAGATTTATAATATATATGTACTATTTAGTGTGTGATGGAACTCCATGAGTATTGACGGCATTATAGTCCAAAAATTGAAACGAAGATCCACTATAAAATTTGGATCCGAGCCCTTGATAGGAATCTATCAAAGATATATTTGTATGAGTTCGTATTCAACTATGAAAGTTGCGAATCTATTTGTTTAATGGTAATTAATAACTTTTAGCTACATTTTTGCAGGTAAGAGGCTTTCTTGTGAACTTTGGTGTGTATTATGCATCAAGATCTGTTCTTGGTCTTCCATTTCAATGGAGGTAAACAATAATATTATTTTATTACTGATCAAAGTTTCTCTTAAAATTTTGATCAATAATCTTTACCCACAAATTAGAGATAATTAATTATTGTCTTAAATTTTTGCATGCAAAATGCAGCTCACCTGTGGCCTTCATCACCACATTTGTTACTCTTTTTGGTTTGGTCATTGCCCTTACAAAAGATCTTTCCGACATAGAAGGCGATCGCAAGTAAGTGCTCTACGGTTTGTTTGGAAGCTATTTTCGAAATAAATCTTCTATTTTTTTTTCTTTTGAATTGTTTTCAAGATTGATGCATGATTTATTTTGATTTCATATTGGGAATTTATTTATGTTCTTTTTTTTTAAAAAAAAACTATTTTTGAAGTAATTTCGATTTTAGTTTTTCAAAATTGTTCTAAAAATTCATATAACTAAGTTTACATTATTATTAATTGTAGTTTCCAAATCACTGTTTACAAATCCGTTTTTGAGGAATTGTTAATTTTGACTTTCCAATTTTGATGACAGGTAATAACACTTGATTTTTCCCACTTATTGGATATTTTGTTTATTTATTTATTTTTTCAACAGATATAAGATAACAACCTTTGCTACAAAGCTTGGAGTAAGAAAATTGGCATTTCTTGGTTCAGGGATTCTTCTTCTGAACTATGTTGCTGCTATTTTGGCTGCGATTTTTATGCCTCAGGTTAATTCTCATTTTTTTTAATCTCATAATTAATTTCCTTTGAGTATTTGTTCTTTTAATATTATTTCCATTTTATTTTTGTTTTTCTTCCAAATTCTGAGGGCATTGTTTGAATTTTTTTGGTTGGAGATCAATTTTCCACCTCATATATTGTTGAACTAAACTAAAAAAGCATAGTTTAAAATAGTGTATGATTCTAAAATTAAATTGAAAAGTTGTTTGGATGAACCATCTCTAAAAATAAATTAGATTAAAAAACAATTAAAAAATCAGAAACAATATTTTTGACGTGGTGTGATTCTTCTTCTTTTTTTTCCTTCATATTTTTGTTAAATTTATTTATTATTATTTTTAAGTATTTGTTGAATTTACCATTGTATATAACTATTGATTGTTTTCAAATATGATCTGATTCAAATGTGTTGATGTAGGCTTTCAGGCGGAGCATATTCATACCCACTCATGCAATTATGGCCATGAGTCTTGTTTTTCAGGTCTCTATATATATATTTTTCTATGGTTAAATTATAAATTTAGACCACTAATTAAAAAAAATCAATTTTTTTTAATTTTATTTTAGACAATCATTAATATTATTAAAAAAAGATTGATGTAACATGTCATTAAAAGAAAAAACTAATGAATATGTTACATGAGTAGAAATTCTGTAAGCGTTACAACCACAAGGAATTAACAATTTTCTAAGTTAAAAACAAAGATCATTTTCAAAATTTATGAACTAAGAGTGTATTAAGTTTGCATCAACTTTTCTTAAAAAAAAAAAAAAGTTCACATCAACTTTCTAAGTAATTCTGGAGGGCTAAAATTATTATTGTCGTTGCTTAAATCTAGAGTATTTTCCTATTTGGTATCAAATACAAATCACATTTACGAAGAACAACTTTAAAGTTGATTATTCAAAAAGTGATTGTCAATATCAACATAATTTGGTAGTAATTGGTACATACTTCTTTCCTTAAGGTCGAAGGTTCAAACATCCATACCCTTAATTTGTTGTACTAAAAAAATATATATTAAAAAAGTGATTGACCGAGAGCCCTAAAATTTAATCAAAACTATTTAAGAAAAAGAAAAACTTAAAAAAAAAAGGTTGAAAAGTGTTTAAATTAGGAGGTATACTAAGGCAACCTAAATTTATAGTTTAATCATCATTTTATATCTTCAATCTAATAATTTTGGTGTGATTTTATTTTCAGACAAGAGTGTTAGACCAAGCAAAATACACCAAGGTAATGTAATCTCTACATTTAATTTAACTATTTTTCTTTATTAGCAAGATAATACTTTAAATTATTTATGTGTTTGTGAATTTTGGTTCACATTGTGCAGGAAGCAGCCTCAAATTTCTACATGTTCTTGTGGAAGCTATTCTATGCTGAATATTTGGTCTTCCCTTCCATATAAAAACCTCTTCACACTACACATTTCTCCTCAATTTTGAGAGAGAAAAAGAGAGCATTTGTTTTCCACGACCTCTCATTGTAGATGTCGATATCGACAACTAGAATTAAGTTGTATTTTATTATGAACTTATGAATGGATCGAAATCAGTTGACCAATTCAACCCACAAAATCTAATTGCTTTAAATTCGCGTGAAAGAAAAAACTCTCACGAGAAATAACATTTTTTTATAAGTTAGTTACTATGTATCTTATGATTTAAGTAACTACCGAGTCAAACCTCCAATAGCACTGCGAGCCTTCCTCTTCATTCATATACAAGTTTAATGTTCAAATGTTTTAATTTACAATGAAAGTCAACAAGTTTCTCGAGCACCAACTAAATTCATTGACATTTGTATTGAGTCAATGAGAAATATCACATCATATTCTATTAGGTCAACTCAACCCATGGATCAATTGAGAACCCAAACTCAGATTGACAAACCAACTTCAAACGAGACCAACATACGACTTTTGAAAAGTTCAAATATATACTAAATTTAAATCTCAAAACTAGAAGTTATGGAACTAAATAGAAACGAAATCTAAGGGTGTGTTTGAGAGTGATTTTGACATGGTAAAATCACTTTTGTCATGGCCAAAATCAGTTCTATTTCCATTGATTATGTTTGGTAGATTAAAAAATTGATTTTAGGAAAACATAAAATCACTTAAAATTGATTTTTAAGGTATGTGATGATTTTGAAAAATCAATTATTCTTAAATCTATTTTTTTCAAATTACTCATTTTACCATCACTTCCAAATATAATCTATTTTACCGGTCAATATTTCAATGAAAATGGATCTAACTATATATATATTTTTAAAAAAAGATTACCTAACTTTTATTTAAAAGGAAAACAAAAAAAGATTACCAATTTAAACTACATTACGGCTACATTTGAAATGGACGTGCATTTATTAACTGCAAGAGGGTCGGAGCAATTTTGCCCCTACAATGGATGTTATCTGAGCTCCGAACCAAATGCAATCTTGTTCTTGAATCGAATTTCTTCATCTCTTCTTCCTTCGTCCACTCCAATTCCTCTCGCTCTGCTCTCCTCTCCTCCGATGGAGCATTCAGTGTTTCACTCCGCTTCTCTTCGAACTCCGGCTGTCAATTCCACTTTCAGGGCTTCTCTGCCTCACAGAAAGCTACTAATTAAGCCCGCAGCAACCGTTCCTTCCACTCTGATCCCGAATTTTGCAGTGCATCTGCAGCCGAGATGGCCGTGCGGCTGCCGGAGAAGTGTTTCGACTAAATCGGGGCGGCGAACTTCCATCCAGGTGTGTTTGGTGCCTTAGTGATTGCTGTAACTGTTTGTGATCTGCGGTTTGCGGGTTGCTTTTGTTGTGCTTGATGAAGTACCAATCTGCGAATGTCTAATGTGATTGTGGCTGAACCTTCAGCTGGACAGGGATTGAAATCCAATTGTTGCAGTTACGTTGTTTTTTGATCAAGAAACCAAACTTTTGTTGAGAAAGAAATTGCACTTACTTTGTGAGCCGAACCTAAAAGAAGTGTTCCAATGGAATTAAGAGATAATTTTGGGGATTGCCGAACCACCTGAACTGCAAGCTTGCAGACAAATTTTGATGGAATGAAGATGATTCCCTTATTCGATCAAAGTTCAAAATTAAATACAAGCAAAATCTAACTATAAGTCCAATAAACTAGGATCCCACTATCACTTCCTGTATACCTAATGGTCAGCTGAAAATTAGGATTTACTAAGCTACTGAAGATTAGGTCTTCTTCTCTTAAAAGAAAACAAATTACAAATAAATAAGTGAAATAAAATTCAAAGTTGGAATTGCGTTTTTCAGATTGTAATTTGTTGACGTGTGAATTATTTCTGTCGATTGCTTTACCTTAGAAGTTCCTTTTTGATTTTCGGTTTGAGTATATTAGAAAATTTAGAAGTATTTATGCTTTAGAAAGCTTTGGTCCGTGCGAGGGTAATACTGACATGGTTTTGAAACAGGAGGGATAGTGAAGAAGTGGCTTTGATTGATCAATATATTTACCTTT